GCTGGGCGTGGGGCTCTACGCAGCCGCCACCGGCATCATGGGCTACAAGGCCGGGCGGAAAAGCTATTGCAACCTACCGGGCTACAGCCAGCACTGCCTCTACGGTGCCTACCTGAGTGCCTCCGTCTGCGGGGGCATCGCTGCCTGCCTGTACCTCTTCTCCGGGCTCTACTGCCTGTCACGGCGCTGCCGGGACCAGCGTGACATCATCTGAGACCCCGTGGCACTCAGCTCCCCTTCTCCTTGCCTGCGGATGGGGCGCAGCCCCGCTTTGGGACAAAGTGACCCTACCACCCCATAACCTCCCGGCTGACTGCACCGCGCTTACTCCAGAGACTCCTGCGCAGATGGATGGACAGATAGAGGCCTTCCCCGAGCACGGCTTCCCCTGCATCCTGCCGAGACAACATGGCCCCCCAGCCACTGCACAGGGCTCTCTCCTACCCGTGGACAGACGTAGGCTATTGCAAGTGGAAGGACCCAAGCGGAGACCCCTTAAGAGGGACCCCAATTTCTGGGTGCCCCCCAGGGCCCTTGCCCAACTCCCTTGCCCCTGGCCTCGCAGATGCTGCATGTTCAGGTGGGTGCCGACCTGTCCCCAAGGCGGAGGGGGACTGGCCTGGGGGAGCTGGGCAGGGGCGCAGTGGTGCTTAGTGGGGGTGGGTGGGCATAAACACCCCCCCAACCCACTGGCAGCTCCCTCCTGCTATTCCCAACTGCGCAGCGCCTCCACAATTCCCTAACGGAGGCTCTGATCTCGGCTTCCCCAGCCTGGGCCCCTCCTCCTGTCTGGCCTGAACATGTCTGCTGTCTTGCTGGAGCCCCGTGGGGCTCAGTCCCTCCCTGCCCTGCGCTTTGGGGGTGAGACACCTAGGAGACACCCAGGTCCCGCACTGCCTGACCTGGTGTCACCCCAGCTCCCTGGACATGCTGTCCTGTTTGGGGGCTGAGCCCACGCAGGGCAGCAAGGCCTCCATCGCTGCGAGGCAAGGGGAAGGGCAAGCAGGGCCATAGCTTGTGCCTGTGACCCTGGGCAGGGGGTAAATTCCTCCAGCCTTGGGGTTCCTACTGCCCCGGAATGGGCCCAGGCCCCCCTGAGATTGAAGGCTCGTTCTCTCCCCCTGCCTTCCTGCAGTGAGGTTCGTGGCTCTGAGCCACCCAGAGTCACCAGGCCTGCCCTGGGGCCCGGCTGCTCCAACAGGGACAGGCACGGCCTTGCTGGTGGCGCTGGAGGCTGGCCTACAGCCCTCTCTGGTTCTGCGGCGCTTTGTTTATCATCCTGGTAAACTCTTGTCTCGGGACTCTCCATCTCCATCTCGGGGCCTTGCGCTGCCTGGAGACTACGGCTAGGTGGAGGGAAAGGGCAAGCGAGGGAGCATGGTGGTGCTGGGCTGCCGCTGGGGCCCAGCATCGTGGGGACGTAGCCTGTCTTGCAGAACAGGAGAAGAGGACGCCGGCAGCGGGGCCAGCCCAGCCCTTGATTAGCCTCCACAGCCCACTGAGTGCCAAGCCCTGAGGGGGCTGTGTAGGGCCAATTGGAGCAATGGGCAGCTAGAGTCTGGTAATTTTTGGAGGAGCACCACATCAGGGCTGCCCTGCCATGAGCCCTCCTTGCCCTGCCTGGAGGCAGGTCCTCTCTGTCACTCCAGGAGCAAGGGAGTATCTGCCCCAGTATCTGCATGGGCTCAGATCAGCAGGACAGGTATCCCCAGCAGCTGGCCACAGGCTCTGGCTTGTTGCCTGGGGTTCCTTGGTGCCTTTTTTGGGGTGGAGAGCAGCAGCCGTGATTTCCCTGGGGCTTGGAGGGGTCCAGGGCTGGTGCTGGGCCATTGCTTCTATCATGAGGTGTTGTCCCAGCTGATTCCCCCTCGTGCTTGGGGACCCTGACAGTCCCTGGGCCATCTACCCATTCCCGGGCAGGATGTGCTGTCCCTGCCCTGTGTCAGGGCTGGTCCCTGACACTGCCTGCCCCTGCCTGCTCCAGTGCAG